AGAGAGAGAGAGAGAGAGAGAGAGAGAGGGAGAGAGAGAAAGAGAGAGAGAAAGAGAGAGAGAGAGGGTTTTTTTTTACTGTTTTTTATGATACTAATGAAAATACCGGCTGTGAGATTTTCCAAGGTTCAAACCAGCTTTCCTCCGACGATCATTTAAAAGTACTAAAACAGAATAAACTTTGTATGGTCCTCTACCTTGGGAAATCGCTCTTGGTCAGTTATAAAAATTTCTCGTGGTTATTTCACAGGAACATAGATACACGGAATGTGTTATTCTCCAAACATTCAGCATCGTACAGAATGACAGAACGAATGTGTTAGTTTATGGTATTCTCAGGTTTGGGCCACAGCCTAGGTTAACGAAGTGAAAGTATACAGGATCTAAAGATACACTACTTCATTGTTAACACATTAAGCTAAACGATTTAGGAATATTGTTTTTAAAAGTGATTTTTAAGCTTGCAAAAATGGAGGGAGATGAAAAGGTGTGCAAATGGTATTCCATGTAATATCATTTCTCCTGCAGTCTCTTTATATTTAAAATACAAGGGAGCAAAATATAGCCTGCTTCTTTTTTACTTATCAAATGAAAATATACCCCCTCTCCTCCCTCCCATTTACTGTTCCGACAATTTGGAAAAAAACTTTAAAGCTCAAACTCTGAGAATCCCAATAAATTGTTAAAAGTAAGGAACAGAAAGAGTCCGTCACTACGAAATGTTAGGGGTTCTGCTATCACGAAAAGACATGCGTAGATGTTGATCCATGCAGCCAGTACAAATATGCTAGAATTATATAAATCAGGGGTCGAAGAAGAGGTCATTATCCCACCAAAATACATAGGTTCTGAAAAATGTATGCTAGTTTGCTAAGAACGCTTGAGAGTGAACAGAACTTCTGGACTTACAACAGAAACATGGTTTACTATCCAAAAGCGCTACTCTTTAACAAAATCATGATAATGATAATTATGTTTTGCATCGTGATAAAATCAGGCGCTCGTCAAAACAATGAAATCAAATAAATTAATATTTTCCCGCTTGTCAAGCAATTCTTATCGATTACCTTTTTTTCATGCTCAAAACCTTTTAATTAAAACACATTTCTCTGTGTGGGCTTTTACGGAATATCGAATGCCCTAAAAATGTAATTTTGCAGTTTTTAAGGTCGCCCAAAATTTGGAAGTCATCAAACTCTCGCAAGTTTCAGCTCTGACTCCAGGCGACCCCTACTTCTGGCAAATAGCTATTCAAGACAGATATATATTTTTCATCTAAAGAAAGACGCATAAACAAAACTAAAAATGATACCAATAACTCCATGCTAAAAAATTGACAAGCGCCTGCTTCCACCTGCTGTGACATATCTGCTTAACCGATACTATTACAATAATATTATGCATCTCTGCATAATTGAAATAAAGGACATTTCTAGGAACAGACAGATTTAATACACAATATTTCACGTTTTTTCACCAGCATTTCATTGGAACTAGAAAACAAATTGAATTTTATGGTTTTCAGAATCTATTGTTCCATTCTTCGGAAAATATGCTTATAAATTTCGTAAAATAATGCCCAGGGAAATCTTTTCCGCTCTTTCTGACTTTGAATAGGATTTTGCAAAACAATGTAAACAACCCCAACTTTCTTCGACCCTTGATTTATACATTTCTGTTGTGTTGAAGTTACATGAGTGACGTCTCAAACTCTTTCTTCCATTGTCTAGAGACCTGATATATGTTGTAGCAGCCACAGAGCATGAGGTACTTGAGAGTCTTCCGGAAGTACGGACTGATGATGCAGTAGAGGATGAAGTTGACAGAGAAGTTAATGGACTGCATCAAGTTCAGTACTACTTCAATTGTCTTGTAGGTCGGGCTCATATTACTGTTGGAAATTTGTGAGACATGGAGAACGACCTCTGACGGGGCGACTAGGATGAAAAACATGACAACAATGACCACCAGAGTGATGGTCAGGACATGACTCGAGCTCTTCGCCTGCGCCTGACGTTTGAACTGACGCCGCATTTTGTAGGACTTGTAGATTTTCCTACACAGACACACGTTGAAGAAAAAAAGTAGTAGCAGTGGTACAAAGTTCCCAAACACTGCCCAGAGGATGCGATACACTGTGTCAACGGTTTCACTGTTCATAAGGAGAACTTGTTTTGCAGTGTAGCGCACGGGTTTGGAAAGCAGATGAGTATTTGAGTTGGGAACATTTGCTGCTGCCATGGCAGTCGATGGTTGTGACGATGATGAAGATGGCAAGGGTGAAAAAGACGACGCTGAAGCTGCATTTTGAGAAATTGAGGACGCCAAGGCTGATGCTGATGCTGATATTGACTGCGACATTTGTGGGAGGGAGGTGGGGGAAGATTCTGAAGAAAACAACGTAGATGATAACGATGATATCAACGGCGATGAGGACTGTAAATGACTTGATGAAACATGCTGGGACAACGACGAAGATTTGCTCGGGTCTACGACTCCCGAGCCAGTGGCAAGAGTCCCTGTGCCCAGCACAGCACCGGTGATGTTTTCTAGCAAAACGGAGGTGTCACTGGCAAGTCCTCCAAAGTTCAGAAACTCCCCGCTGTCATGAAGGCCTGAAGAGTTGGTGGAAGAGCCGATATCCCCATCCACAATCACATTCGCCGACGTATCAGAAACGGAATAATTGGACGCACACAGCGTGACAACTTCATAACGCCAAAATACCGGAATGTTGAACCCCACAGAAAATATAAAGGTGAAGACGATGACGTACTTTATCCTCCTGGTGGTCAGGTATAGATCCTGTCGCAAGGGGAAACAGCATGCTAGATATCTCTCCAAGGACATAGCCACAGTTAGCAGAGTACTCTCCATGATAAATATATTTATCACCGCGGCGCAGTAAAGGCGATAGTCCAGCAGGAGCCCCCGTTTATCGTAGATGTCGTCGGTGGGGAGGAACATGTGAGGGAACACAAACACGCAGAACATCAAGTCCGAGACAGCCAACGAGATCAGGCAGAGGTTAGCTGCTTGCTCCAACGTGCGGAAAGACTTCTGCAGTTTTCGCCGAGTCAGGATGGTCAAGTTGAGCACGTTGCCCACCATTCCGAACGCACACACGGTTGGAATGACCACCTGAACAATGAAGGTGAGGGGTGTGGGCAGGTAGAAATATGGGGAGGGTGGGCAGTGCAAAGAAGAGGTGAGTCTCAAAGAAAAGCATGATTACAACTACATGTTTATCTAACTAGGTATCACACTAACTAACTAACTAACTAGCTAACTAACTAATTAACTAACTAACTAACTAACTAACTAACTAACTAACTAACTAACTAACTAACTAACTACTCGTAACTAACTAATTAACTAACTAATTAACTAACTATCCAACCAACCAATCAACCAACCAGCCAACCAACCAACCAACCAACCAACCAACCAACCAACCAACCAACCAACCAACCAACCAACTAACTAACTAACTAATTAACTAACTAACTAACTAACTAACTAACTAAGCGAACACGAATTTAGTTTGAAAGCAGTTTTCATTATAAAGCAGTTAAGATATCAAAGGCATATACCAATAAAATGCCAGTGTTCGAACACTTTTCTAGTTTGATCAACGACTTCTTCTCCTTCTCCTTCTCCCTTCTCCCTTCTCCCTTTTTTCTCCCTCCTCCTCCTCCTCCTCCTCCTCCTCCTCCTTCTTCTCCTCCTCCTCCTCCTCCTCCTCCTCCTCCTCCTCCTCCTCCTTCTTCTTCTTCTTCTTCTTCTTCTTCTTCTTCTTCTTCTTCTTCTTCTTCTTTTTTCCAGGAGTTGGTCTTAGCTTTTTTGACATTTCTAAAATAAACCACTAAAACTCTTGCCATTCTCCATACCTGTGTTGTTTTGGCCATAAGCCAGGTTTTTATGTTCCGTTGCCACCTTTTGTTAGGCCTCTTCTCGTCTCTGTTAATTGCAATCTTTGCATCCGGATTATGTTTCTTACGTGATTCATGGCATTTGATAAGCCCGAAGTAGGAAATTTATTTCAGTTGCTAAACGTTTTGGAGGCTTGTTGGTGTTTCTATACTTATTTTTCTTAGCACCTCTTTATTCTTTATTTTTTGTGCCCAGTATACTCTTAGAATTCTGGCGCTCATATGAACTTATGCAGTTGCGAGCGCCGTAAAACCTCTACTAAAACTAAAAACTAAACTAACTCTTAGAATTCTTCTATAACATTTCATTAAAAAAACTGCAATCCTTTTTATCTTGTCCATTCTTTACATCCATATATTGCTGTGAGGAATATGGTACTTCTCATACTTTTTATTTTTGTATTTTTGCGTTCTCTCTGCAGATGAATGTCATACTTTCCGAATTTAATGTTAGCATTGTATTTAACCTCTGGGGTTCTTTTCCCCATTCCCCAATTCTGGCTCCAGCATTTTCAAAACTCCTAACTCTTTCTATTTTTTCTTTGTAAATTCTTAATTTGAGTCCCTTCTTTGCATTTGTCTATGTCCCTGATTTTAATATTCTTTACATTTAGATTTTATTAACTTTCCTAGTCACCTTGCTCCTGGTATTGTGGTGAGGAGTGACACGGCTAAGCATAATATGCTCGTAATAAAAAACTTGTTTTGAAAAAATAAAGGTAAACTTTTATACAATTTTCAAAGTAACATAGGTTTCAAACCAGCAGACAATTATGATGATAATAAAGAAATAGCATTTGTATAGCGCATATCCCCGCTCGACAGAAAGCTCAATGCTCTTTACACTATAACATTACCCCAGCTTACAATATATAGACCACTCAGAAGAATTCTTAGCTTATCGGGAAGCATACGGTGTAAACACCTGATTAAGCGCTCAAACACTAACAAAATGGCAATATCTTTCACTGTCTATATCGGGGTGAAGTGAGGAAAATGCTCGTAAAAGGCTTTTCCGAAGGACACAACGTCGAGCCCCTGAAGGGATTCGAATCCACGACCCTTACGGTTGCAAGTCTGAGAACCCAACCGCTAAGCCACCGACACCGCAATTATTAGCTTGCTGTAATATTTTAAGGTTGATTCCAGATAAAAAATATAGATCAAATTGAGCAGTCCCTACTTTCTTTGAGTCAGAAAGTATGTTATGTTCCAACAAAGAGCTGTATAGTACTTTGTGGGTTTGTTAAGAGGACAGTGAACCACCAACGAGGAGGAGCTGTTGCTATGTAAATGAAATGCAGAAATCATTCTTGTGAGTGAGCAGAACTGTTCTCAGGGGCTAATTCGGAAGTAAACTGATGAGATTAACCCGCCCCTCTCCTCAAAACACCTTCTGCATAAAGGCGGAGCCTTTAGCATCCAGAATCAATGCAATGCCGATGTTCACAATGGGTAATGAAGCGGACGGTACGTTCATAAAACGCCAGACATGAACGCGCTCCGATTAGCCACCTCCATGTCAAATACGCCCTTAGAGGGCAGACCATAGAATTGAAAGAAGGATAGAAAGAGCGGTGAGTATTTAAAATGGCCCTATGGACAATATGAGATGACAGACAGGACAGGAGGGCATGCTGTCTAGGCAGCCCGAACGAGGTGCTTCAACAGGGTGCAGTATCACTCGTCTCTCCTAAACAGAAAGGTTTTTTAAATAATACCTGTAGTACAAAATCGTTACCACTAATCACACTCTGCGCCACAGGAGCATGGCAACGGACATCACTAGGAAATTTCGATTGTTTCCCTGGCCTCAACCAGGATCACAACTGAACGGTTAAAAGCCTGATGGATTCAGGCGAACTTTTATTTTATGGTTGATCAGTTTCGTTTTCTTTCCTTCTAAAAGTTCGTCTCTTTACTTGAGAAAATGATTGAAAAGATGTTAATTGATTTAAATCCCCATTGGTGAGAAATGCGGCGGGCTTCTTTGACCCCGTCAGTTAGAGCCTACTTTGGATGAATGGGAGACCGTATTGAAACAGGCAGAGGTTGAGACTCTAAAATAACTTCCTCGTGATATGGAACCCAAACTCAAGTCTTCTGCAGGCTTGCTACCGCATAGAACCATACCATTACATTACCAACACCCAAGGGCGAAGCGTCTATATAATCAAATAATCACTGCTTCCCTTTCTAATTTTGAAACATTGTCGCTGTCAAATTCACCTGTAAACGTAAACCTCATAAATTAAATGTAAAAAGACGTTCATAATCAACAATGAACAGTATGCGTAACATTAAAAAAGGTTTCACTACCACAGAAATATCCTGCTCACCCCTCTCGGGCCACTCCATAAGCAGTCACAAGCTTTGATTAAGTAAGCTTAAAGTGAGGCTGGAAGAGTCTACCAATAGAGTTGAAGGGAACATGTGCATTGCAGTCAAAACTGTTTCATTGCAACATATGCCCTGTACACCCCTTTGGGGCCACAGTTATAAGCAATCATAAACTCTGATTATGTAAGCTAACTATTACA